TGTAATTTTCGTTGACGGGGTAATTCATTGGGCCTGTTGTGATTTTCTGGCAACCAAGGACTCAGAAGCCTGGCACCAAGTCTTTCTGCGATGCTGGGCACGATACTTTGGACCTCCGAGCGTTCCCGCATCGGATAAGGAAGGCGCAGTGATCGGTGACTTCTTGGGCAAGGCCTGCGAAGCGTACGACAATGAACGAGATTTGCAAGGATCAGAAGGACACACTCGCACCGGTCTTGCTGAACGGCGCCTTGGCCTGGTCAAGTTATTGGCTCTCAAGCTCTACTCGCAGGCACAGAAGCAGGGCATCCGCAAGACTCAAGACGACTGCGTCAGCGAGGCACGTTTACGTTCCAACTCCGTTTTGTTGTATGGAAGCTCGACACCGAATCAAGCGTTGCTTGGATATGAAACACGTGATTTTTACCATCACGACAACAAGTCGATCTCAGCGACGAGCGACGCCAACCTCAAGCAGCCCGACTCCATCGAGTCTCAGATACGTATCCGACTTTACGCTGAAGAAGCGACCATCCAGGCGGTGATAGAAAACCGCATTGCAGAGGCAGCGAACACTAAGCCTCAGCAATACACGCACGCTGGAGGCCCTGAAGCAGATCGAGGAGCCCGAAGCCAAGGTGGATCTTTGGAGAGAACCCTCTTCCAAGGACCAGAGTGGATGGCGCGGCCCGGCTGAGATGATAAAGTGCATGATCATGGAGAACAGGCGATCATTGCATGGCGAGAACATCCGATGCTCGTTCCAATTCGCCACGTGCGACCTCACATCGGATTTGTCTGGCTTCTTCAAGTTGGCACCAAGACGGGCGACACCAGCAAGGAACTCATTTCCTCTTTGACGGATCAGGTCGAAGACAATGTTCTCGGCCAAGTTTATACCTACGGACGGCAATGGGATCAGCAGACCCAGCAGTACGTCAATGTACCTGAAGATCTCGTAGAGCGACCTCCACGTATCTTGCAGGGCGGTAAGCGAGCGGCAAAGGAGATGCTGAGTTTGGACATCGACGGGATGCAGTTTGGACATGGAGTTAGACGCACGGATCCTCTACCGAATGTGGACTATGGGCGGCTTATGCAGAGGACACAACAACTGCGAGATCAATACACAGTCGTCGACATACGTCCTGGAACCAAGATTTCGCTGGCTTCGCGAGGCAGTCATTCTGACAGGCGCTTCTTGGTAGCTTATCAAACCACGGCACCTGATTACTCTAAAGATGACGAAGCTCATCCTGATATCAGTCCTTCGTGGAGCACATCAACGACACCTTGGACTCCAGCGCCTTTCGACGACGACGAGACACCGATCTACATTCCAAGTCCACCGAGACAGCCACCTCCAGCTCCAGCTGAAGGACCTCCAGCGGCAGGCAATCCTCCTGCACCACCTGGGGCACCTCCAGTGGCAGCTGTTCCACATCAGAAGTTTCCAGACGAACTAAATGCGACAATGTCGCCCACTCTTACGTGTAGTCCGTATCAAAGCATGGAACAGCAGGCACCTGTATCACCGCCGGATCCGCCAGCACCGCCTGCACCTCCACCGGCTCCAGCAGCGACAAAGATACGAGTTCCAGTCACTCCAGATCAAGACAGGTCGAGATCGAGGATGAACTCACCGATGTCAACAGCGGCATCGCCTATCAGTTCGATTGAACAAGACGCAGGTCAACAACCAGATGATCCTCCACAACCTGGCACTGCCAAAGCCAGAGTACTAGAGTCACCGGACTTCGACAGGTCAAGATCACGAAATATTCATCGAGAAGTTCCTTACTTTCCTGTATTGTCACCACCAGAGAGGAAAGTGTCCGAGCAGGCGAGGAGTCCGGAAACACCAGTTCAAGGGCAAGAACCTATTCTGCCAATCGCACAGGGGACACCCAGTGCTTCCAGCACCTGATCGGGGCTGGACAGATCGAGATCGAGGATACACCATCGAGAGCCGACGGCATTTCCATGGCCTGCACCCCCTCAGCCAGCACCTTCACAGGAGACTGAGAAGACATCGCCTGGAAGCGCCGCGAATACCAGATCGAGATCTAGGACTGACACGCGCGTTGGAATCGACCAAGTTCCAGAGAAGAAGCTGTTCAACCCAGAATCACCAGCAGCAGAAGTTGGACAACCAAGCGGAGAACAACAACAAGATCGTGGACCAGTTCTACCTTTACTGCATCCACCTCCAATTCCAGTTGTTCAACAGAGCGGACAAGCTCAAAACAAACGACTTCGAGTCGGACCTTCACCATCATCAACGGCAGCACCTCTTCCTAAAGAACCAGCTGCGGCGGCTGAAGTACCTGAGGCAGCACAGACTACGAACGCGATACCTGATCAAGAAGCTGAAGCACATGCACAAGAAGATGAACCAACTATCGAACATCCTGAAGGCGCGCTAGATGCTACACTGGAATATCCACCAGGAGCAGCAGATGAGACAGTGGAGTATCCAGAAGACGCACAAGAAGAAGATTATCTTCAAAGCTACGAGGACCTTTTCTCAGTTGCTCCTCCTTCACGTTACTAGCACTTCGTAAAAGTTTCCAAGATCGACAACATCACAGAGACACCTCCGCGCGACGACTTCGACGCGATGACTCACGCAGCAGAAGACGCCAGTATCGTTCAGACCTGGCTTACTTCATCGACGTCTGGTTCGACGGCCTGGACAGCATCTGAAGCATTCCATGTTATCCCTGGGCCGTGGCAGAAGGATACTTGCTTCTCGTATGATATTCTTGGAGACGAACGTTTCTCAGTCACTCAAGAGGACTTCTTGACAGAGGATGAAGTGATTCAGTACTGGGAGTTCGTGGAAATAGGAGACCGCGACGAGATCACATATTTTGTGTCACACGATGTATTCACACTGGCCATGGCAGAAAACATTTACAACACGATTGATGCGGTATGGGTTCGAAAATGGCGAACCAGGTTTCCACCAATAGTGAAGTCACGAATGCGCGGAAGAGGCTTCATGGACAGACAACGACAAGGTGTTCATCGACACTCCTCGACAGCATCAGCACTCATCAGCATTATCACGTCGATTGGCTATGACCCTTGGCGCTCAATGTTCATGGGATTGCTGAGCGTTTGATGTATCAACAGCATTCCTTCAAGGCTTACGCTTTCAAGAAATCGAAGCACGCGCCAAAGAACTTGGACATGAATGTAAGCGTATCACAAAAAAAACATGGCTACAACCTCCAACGAATGTCTGGCGACACCTTCGTTTGCTGAACTACACAACGGTAGAAGACATGGAGAGGTTCCTATTTGTTCCTCTTCTTCTTAACGAAGCGATGTATGGATTCGTTGATGGGCCTATTATATGTCAGACGGCTTTCTTACATTTCCTGTTAAGTGAACTCAAATTCTACAAGTCATTACACGACGACAATGTGTTGTATATGCTTGACGAGCAGAAAAAAGGCACTGGCATGTATTATTGTTCTATATGCGGGTGGTCTACTAGTGCTTGCTATGAAAGCGATGCTGCAATTGGTAAAGCCGCGAGTTGAAAGCAATTTCGGCAAGGTGAAGCATCACTTGTTACCTTTTTAGATGGTGTTGTATTGTACACGAGAAGCCACGACCTGGACATGTCTTTCTTCACCAGAAGCCATATGTTAGTAGGCTGAAACCTATCAATATCGTGGAGAAGACGGCAGACACGGCAGAGTTATGCGACATAGATTACCATTCACTTCGCTCACTGCTCATGAGTATGCTATGGCTGACAAAGATGCGATGCGACATCCTCAAGGAGATAGTCTACTTACAGACAGAGACGGTGAATCCCAGAGGTAATCACGTGAAGCAGTTGAACACTACGCTCAAGAACGCTATTGCTCACCAAGACATGAATGGACTACATTTACAATAGATTGGACCACACAGGCAACTTGTTCAAATCACGGACAGCGGACACATCACTTCGACGAGTTCCTATACACAAGAAGCGCGTACGACAAACAAGAGCAGTACTACGGCAACGACGCACGAATATCCGGAGGCACAGCATGCCCGCTTATTGTAAGTTCGAGAAACACAGCGAGTTTCATGGAGTACAAGCCATTCGGAGACGAATCCAGCAGTATCAGGTGCAGCAATGGCAAACGTAATTGCATCACGGATCAGGGAGCTAGATTTCTTACCAGTATTTGGACGCCAGCTGACAGCGAGAGGTCTATTGCAAGTTCATATGAAGTCACAACACTTGATACCAGTGGACGTATGCACAGATGCGATGGATCTACTGAGTCGGTTTGTTTATCTAAGTCTCTTCCCAACGACAAACACCATCGAGTTGGTATTCTTGCACTAAGAGAGGACAGAATGACGAGGATAATCAGAAATGTGATACATTTACCCACGACTGTTATGTTGGCAGACCAATTGACAAAGAAAATGCTATCACCAATTTTCATGAGGTGCGTTATCACCGGAGAATGGGCTATCGATGTGAAAGAGCGAAAGATCCGGATATGCCGAGGAGTTCGAAGACCAGCAACCTACACGGAGAAGGATCCACAGGACAACAATTTCGAGACAGCTAACGGAGATCCAGAAGAACAACTACAGCTGGACGAAGAGGTTACTTCATTGATGGAGTTCCTCTCAGCATACGACAAAGCCGATTGATATACAAACCCAATGGGTCCGTGGACACCACGCTCCGACTCCATATTAGAGGGTGACAGCGGACTCTGAATTTCAGGACAGACAGAGTCAGTGAATGAGGAGAGCTAGCATGTTCATATTGGGATGAAGAGTGATTGATATTGAGCTGTAAATATCATGGTTCAAACACAAAATAGTCGAGTGGAGGAGGGAGGAGGGAGGAGGGAGGAGGAGGGAGGAGGAGGGAGGAGAAGGGAGCGAGGAGGGAGCGAGGAGGGAGCGAGGAGGAGGAGGAGGAGGAGGAGGAGGAGGAGGAGGGAGGAGGGAGGAGCCGTGGCGCGACACGCCTCGCCCCGCGCGCCATCGGACATCGCGCCTCGGCGGGGCGGGACGCTGCAGCGTGCCTCCCTTCGGGGTCGGTGGGGCGGCCCCGCGCCGGAGCGGCTGCGGCTCGGGCGGTGGAGACGGCGAGGGCCAGGAGGGAGGGGGAGAGACACAGAGAGAGAGAGAAAGAAATGAGAGAGAGAGAGAGAGAGCGAAGGAAAAAGAGAGAAAGAGAGAGAGAGAGAGAGAAAGAAAAAAAGGGGGGAAGAGAGAGAGAGAGAGAGAGAGCAAAGGAAAGACAGAAAGAGGTGTTGTTGTTGTGGTTGTTGTTGTTGCTGCTGGTGGTGGTGTTGTTGGTGTTGTTGGTGTTGTTGCTGTTTATGTTGCTGATGTTGCGGTTGCTGTTGGAGCTGCTGTTGCTGTTGTTGCTGTTGCTGTTGTTGGTGGTGGTGTTGTTGGTGGTGTTGTTGTTGGTGCTGGTGTTGTTGTTGCTGGTGTTGTTGTTGGTGTTGTTGGTGTTGTTGATGTTGTTGTTGATATTGTTGTTGTGGTTGTTGTTGTTTGTTGTCGTCGTCGTCCCACCCGCGACCCACCCCGCAACCCACCCGCGAACCACCCCGAGACCCACCCGCGACCCGGCCCGCGACCCGACCCGCGACCCACCCGCGACCCACCGTCGACCCTCCTGCGACCCAAGCCGTGACCCACCCACAGTGTTTTTTTTTTAACGGCGCCTACGGCGGGCTCTATAGCTTGAAAAATTATGCGCCTGCGGCGGGCTTCTTCAGAACCTCGCAGACTGCCGACGTACCCACCGCCCCCTCACTCTTATCCGCAACTGCGGGGTGCTACGTATTTTTGGTGGGCTTGGGCCAGGGCCGAAGCCGCGGCCCCGGCCGGGGCCAGGGCAGCCGGGGCCGGGGCCAGACCCACGGCCAGGGCCGGCTGGGCCGGCTGGGCTGGGGCCGAGGCTGGGGCTGGGGCCCAGGGCGGGTTCCGGGACCGGGGCCCATTGGCTGGGGCCAGGGCTGGCGCCTGCGCCGGGGCTGGAGCCGGGTCTGGGGCACAGTGCCTGGCTGGGCTGGGGCCGCGGCCGGGGCTCCCAAGCCCAACAACCCACCGATGTGCCAACCCGTCAGGGAGCTAGCCCGCCATCAAGCTCGGCAGGCGGACACGACGCAAACATTCCACTCAGCAACACGCACTGCCTAAGGCGACTGCCAGTACCCTCCCTTCCCTCCTCCTCCTCCTCCTCCTCCTCCTTCTCCGCCGCCGCCTCCTCCTCGAAATTTGGGAAAAACCTCCGTCTTAATTTTTTCAATACGTTGGATCTCTGGGTTGACCCCCCTCAAACGTTGGATACGTTTCAGTACGTTGGATACGTTTTTCAACACGTTGGAGCCCCGAGCCCACCAGCTGCGAAACGGTCGCGGACCGCCTCGCGTCGACACCCGGCCTGGCCGTTCCCGCGAGGGCGCCGCGCGGGCCGGCAGCTGCCGGGGGAGCGCAGGACCCCTGGTGGCACAGCAGTCGAAGCAGGGAGCGAGGAGGGAGCGAGGAGGGAGCGAGGAGGAGGAGGAGGAGGAGGAGGAGGAGGAGGAGGGGAGGAGGGAGGAGGGAGGAGGAGGAGGAGGGAGGAGGAGGAGGAGGAGGAGGAGGAGGAGGAGGAGGAGGAGGAGGAGGAGGAGGGAGCGAGGAGGGAGGAGGAGGGAGCGAGGGGGGAGCGAGGAGGAGGTGGGAGGAGGAGCGAGGAGGGCGAAGCCGGGCGGAGGATCAGGAGGAAGGGGGGGGCACAGGAGGAGGCGGCCAGGAGAAGGAGCGGGCGGAAATGCGAGGAGGAGGAGGACGACGACGAGGCGGAGAGGAGGAGGCGGACGGAGGAGGAGGGAGGAGTAGCAAGAAAGAGCAGGGGGAGCAGGAGGAGCAGGAGAAGGGAGAATGTGAAGGAGAAGGGATGGAGGAGCAGGAGCAGCAAAGAGGAATTGGGGGTCCCTGAGGGGGCAGCGTTGTGTCCAGGGCCAAATCCCAGTACGCTCGGCAGGCTCGCCTGATCCGTCAATAGCATCCCTTACGACCCCCAGCCGCAAGGAGCTCGGATCTTATGTTTGCTCTTACCGACGATTTGGCTGCTTAGACTTGCTCTCACCCTACGAGCGATCATTCCCTTCTCCGTCGCCCCAGAAACACAGGTCGCGCTCGCTGGGCCTCGGCGAGCTTCAGTGCAGGAGGAGAAAGGAAGCAGCTGGGAAAGGAGGAGCGATCCCAAAATGCCTGCCCCCCCCGTGCGACAGCACTAGAGGCTAGCCGAAGCCTGCGGGCCTGGAGAGCAGGAGGAGGAGGAGGGGGGGAAGGAGGAGGAGGAGGAGCAAGAGGAGGAGGATGAGGAGGAGGAGGAGCAGAAAGAGGAAGAGGAGGAGGAAGTAAAGAAGAGGCTCCCGCTCCTGCACCAGCTCGGCAGGGCTGATGCGCACCTGGAGGCACATATCCCCGGCCTCCGACACCTGCGGTCCGGGCAGCGCGCGGGGGGGGAGGCCTTCCTTCCAGTCCTCTATGTTCATTTAGACCTGCTCCTGCCCTTCCCTCTCCCTCCTCCTGCTCCGCCTCCTCCTCCTCCTCCTCCTCCTCCTCCGCCTCTTCCTCCTCCTCCTCCTCCTCCTCCTCCTCCCCTCCTCCTCCGTGTCGTCTCCGTCTCCGCCGCCGCTTCGCCTCGCCTCCACCTCCGCCTCCCCCTCCTCCGTCCGCCTCCGCCTCCGTCCCCTCCTCCTCCTCCTCCTCCTCGTCCCCTCCTCCTCCTCCTCCTCCTCCTCCTCCCCTCCTCCTCCGCCTCACTTCCTCATCCACCTCCGCCTCCCGCCTCCGCCTCCGCCCTCCTCCTCCTCCTCCTCCCTCCTCCTCCTCCTCCTCTCTCCTCCTCCTCTCCTCCTCCTCCTCCTCCTCTCCTCCTCCTTCCCCTCGTCGTCGTCGTCGTCCTCCTCCTCCTCCTCCTCCTCCTCCTCCTCCTCTCCTCCTCTCCTCCCTCCTCCCCCCTCTTCCTCCTCCTCCCCTCCTCCTCCTCCTCCTCCTCTCCTCCTCCCCTCCTCCTCATATTCCTCCTCTCCTCCTCTATTCCTCCTCCTCACCTCCTCCTCCTCCTCTTCCGACGACTCCGTTTCCGTTTCCATTTCCGTCTCCGCCGCCGCTTCCGCCTCCGCCTCCGCCTCCGCCTCCTCCTCCTCCTCCTCTTCCTCCTCCTCCACCTCCGCCTCTTCCTCCGCATCCGCTTCCTCCTCCGCCTCCGCCTCCGCCTCCGCCTCCTCCTTCGTCTCCGCATCCGCTTCCGCGTCCGCCTCCTCTTCATCTTCCTCCTCCTCCTCCTCCTCCTCTCTCCTCTCCTCCTCCCTCCTCCTCTCCTCCTCTCCTCCTATCAGCATCATCATCAGCATCATCATCAGCATCAGCATCAGCATCAGCATCATCAGCATCATCAGCATCATCAGCACATCAGCATCAGCATCATCATCATCATCATCATCATCATCATCATCATCATCATCATCATCATCATCATCATCATCGGCATCAGCATCAGCATCATCATCATCATCATCATCATCATCATCATCATCATCATCATCAGCAGCAGCAGCAGCATCATAATCATCATCATCATCATCATCAGCAGCAGCAGCACCATCATCAGCATCATCGTCATCATCAGCAGCAGCATCATCATCAGCCGCATCATCAGCATCATCATCATCGTCATCATCAGCCTAATCATCATCAGCATCATCAGCATCAGCGTCATCATCATCAGCATCATCAGCACCATCATCTTACTATGTTTATTAGTAGTAGTTATCTTATCATGTTTTCAGTTTTCTCATTGTTATTGATAGTATCAGCGGAAGTACCAATAGTGCTGACATTATTAATGTGACTATTCTTCTTGATAGTAGTATTACCATTATTATTCGTACCCGCCGAATGTGTTTCACTATTCAGATGTGGCTTAGTCGTAGTATTACCCGTATTGGCATTAGCATTCGTCTTCTTTATCACTATTATTTACTCAGCATCAGCATCGCCATCCCCATCATCATCAGCATCGTCATCATCATCATCATCAGCAGCATCATCATCATCAGCAGCAGCATCAGCAGCATCAGCCCCCTCCTCCTTCTTGCGTAGAACAACCTGAACGTGAAGCTGTGGCGCCTGGGGTGACTGAAAAATAAAAGAAGAAGGGAAAAAAGCCCTCATCCCGGGCGGGCGCCGCGGGAAATGAGAGAACGGGCACTGGAGAAGACGATTCGTGAGAGCAGGCGCCCAGCAGGTGTGGTGACGACACTCACCTCAGTGCGATCACAATACCAACAAAGGGGAACGCAGTAAAGAGTAACGAGCATGAAAATTGATGGTGGGTGTCGTCGCGGCTCAGCAAGTGCAATACGCGAAGGCTGGCCTGAAAGGCTGGCCTGTCCCAAAGGCAGAAGCCGTGGTACGGGCAATGTGGCACAATAAAAATAAACGCAGCTGCAACGAGTTGTAGCCTAAAGATACAGGCTCGTATACTCCCCCACCACAACGCCAAGCCCCCAACCCCCATCTGACCCTCACCGCCTATGTTTCATTGTACGTGCCAGCAGGTGGCACAGTACAACAGGCTGCGAAGGAGAAAAGAAGCTGGTTGTCGCAGTCTTTCGTCGGGTTGTTGCCCAGGGTTTTGGTTGACCCCAAACCGTGGTATCAAAAAAAACTTATATCAGGTTGATGCCCAGGGTTGTGGTTTACTTTAAACCGTGGAGTAGAGAGGAAGGAAGGGCATATCCTCCTCTTCCTCCTCCTCTCCTCCTCATGCTCCTCCTGCTCATCATCCTTCGTCTCGTCCTGATTGGTATGTGCAGGTCCCCATGGACGAAGAAAGCGAAGGATACAATGAAGACGGAGATGGAGGCGAATTTCTAACAATGATGGCTCAGAAGAGGAGGGAGATGATGCTGATGATGAAGAAGATCGGACAAAAAACTGCGAATAGCAACAAAAATCGGAACAATAAGAACAAGAGAAAGACGGAGGAGGGAGAAGAAGGACAGACGCAAAAAGGGGGCAAACGGAAAAGTAGGAGGAGGACTGGCCCC